ATGTATCTTAAAGCTAACATAACGATGTTTGATTATGCGGGAGATGCACTGGCGAACGCAACCAACTATAACAACAAGTTAATAGTATACGAAATAATCAAGTATATCGAATTATCGTTTGGATTATTTGGTTGCTTAGGCAACATAACCAGCCTGGCGGTTTTGACGTGCAATAAAGTCCGACGCAATGTCGACTCGCAAGAAAATGTCGTCTACTACGGACTCCTTGCCATCACAATTTCTGACCTGCTCTTCTGCTCTACGATTCTTCCTAAGGTTGGCATCAAACCGAGTCAAACGGTGTACAAGTCGTGTACGAACTTTGAAGCATTGTACAACCTGTACGGATCATCACTGCTTGGTACATTCACGATGTGGAGCGTTTGGTTCATCGTCGTCACGTCAGCCATGAGATACATTGGCATCTGCCACCCTTTGAAGGCACGCTATTTGATAAGCAAGAAGAAAATAGTCACAGTATTAATAGTCGTCACCGTCAGCTGCTCCATCCTCAACTCTCCGTCATTCTTCATCTTCAGCATGAATGATTATTGTGAAATCGACGTAGGATATTTTTTTCCTGGCTCGTTAAAGGGAAAAATTTTTATATACGTGAAATTTATTTTTTGCACCGTGGTCCCGTTCATCATGCTGATATTTTTCAACACTCGTCTGCTGATCGCGCTGAGAAAATCAGAAAAATTTCGAAAGAAGAGCAGTCCTTATTCTTCAAACTGCACGACGGCTACCAGGAAAAAACTTTTGTTAAAACATTCTCGCATATTGGAGAACCTATCAAAAAAATATTTCAAAACTGCTGCGTTAAACAACAACGACCCAAGCATATTGTTCAGCAAGAACGAACCTCCGCCGGTGAACATCATGAGCAGCGATGCCGACGAGAATGAAAATGACCCCACTCAAAAAAACGTCAAATTTGTGAAAAATGAAATGAACGGAGTAATAACAAGTGATCTGGAAGTTGGAACATCAGAAAATGCCAACCCTGTCTGTTTCGGCATCACAGAACTTGACGTCATAACGACAGTGAACCAGCTGTCTACCACCGCCACAACAACGGCAACCTCATCCACAAACTCTGCTGCTGCTGACAACAACATTTTAAAAGTCGACCTTGCAGAGGTCAGAAAAAAATTAAAAACCGAAGAAGGTGCAAGATGTTGTTTTAAAAGATTGAATTGGTTGCCTACATGTTCGTGCAATCTTTCAAAACCGATCAACCGAAATTCGAGCAACAGATTAACAGTCATTTTAATCACCATGACCTGCTTTTATATTCTTTTTATTTTTCCATGCGAAATTTTAGACCTGGACTACAGTCAGATATTTAAATTGAACGTAGCTGAAAACTTCTCGTTCAACGAAAACAGCGACTTCAGTGACTACACAGACAACTCAACAATGAATGCTGATGAGTTTGTGAACCCGGAGAAAGAATTTTCATTCGACCACTACAGCTTGACCCCTCACGCCATCGCTGACCTTCTCTACGTCATTATCTTCTCCAGCAACTTCTTCTTCTACAGCATCTTGAACGTACATTTTAGACAGACATTAAAGGTGATACTAGGTGAATGCGTTCCTTACTTCAAAACAAAGAACCAGCAAGTGCTGCACAGATTTGACAAGAAATCATGCTGGAACGCCAAAAAACTTGACGCGTCTGAGAATAGTGAACACTTCTCGAGTTTGCACGCCACTGAAAGGACCAACGTTCAAATAATGAACGGTTCCTCGGAATAACGAACCAACCAAAATTTTAATTTTAATTTAATTTTTATATTACATTCATTAATACTGACAACATTGACAGAAATCGTGAACTCTGACATTGAGTTGACGTTAATTTGTGAAAATGTCATTCTGGGTTTTTTCTAAAATTATTTTTTGTTGAAATCAACACGGGCGCAAACAACTGCCAACGTAACTGACATGTTTCTTGGTTCAGTTTCTTTTATTTAGTAAATTCTGCTAATTTTTACTTTATAAGAAAATTGGACAAAATAAACTTTATTAAGTCATTTTTATTGAATAGATAGGCAAAGGCATCATTTATTTTCTTGAAGTAAAACAATAACGTGATTTTCAAACTAAAAACTGTTCTGTCCTAGCGCTGATAACCAACAACTGAACGTTGTACTGATGTAAAAACATGAATGAATTACAAAATTATTTATTTCGAATGAAAACATTCAAATTATTTTTCAATATACAGAAGAAAACAAGAACAAATAAGCGAAACAGAAATTTTTTTCTAGACCTACAAATCGTAATAGTTGCTACATGGGAGTCCATGCATTAAAGCATGTTTATAGCCATTAGATATATTCTTTATCTATATTTTATTCGAACAAAAATAATTAAAGACACAAATATAAAAAATGAAGGATGGAAATGTTTGAGACCACCAGAGGATGAAACCAGTCAAATGGACATTTGTACGCTGCTGAACAATTGAAACAATTAACTACGGAGCCATTGAGTCATGCCTAGCAGCTTCTCTATAGGTGACGAATGTTAATTTACGAAGGTAATAATTAGTAGTCAAAAAAATACAAAAATTATTAAAAATGTTAATTTCAGTTTTAAATAAATAATGATTAGACAAACGTTTTATCTAATGTATGTAGTCAGTGTTGAAGCATGAATGACATAGAAGCATGTAAACTAATTTCTGGTGTCCACATTTCGTAACTTCTATGCTACAATTAGAATCAAACAAATAATTTTATATGTCTACATCATCATTACGGAAATTTAAATTGAAAATGCTAAATTTTGGCAGACTCATTGTGATATTTATCTGCTTTGGTAGTGAATTAGTTGGTGCGACGAGAAACTGTTTTCAAGCCTTTGAAGAAAATGGTGGAAATTTCTGTTTCCACGACCCGGCAAATGAGTTTGTGAACGTTTCGAGCTCATATTGCTCGATGGAAGCTTTCACGTTGTGTTTGATGAGATGTGCACGAAATGGGCAGCTGTGTGGCTTACAATTTCTTCACCGGCTTCAATCAGTGCAAACTTTTCAATGAAACACTGAAAACTCTTTCACTTCTCTCAAGTTGTCGACATTTCTCTCCCATAGGTTCAATTCTTATTTTAAGAATTATTCATTTGTTTAACGCTTATTAAATTTTAAAAATGTTCAAGAAACATTCAGCAGTTCAGAAACATTGCTGATCACAGTGGATGATGTTTTTGTTAAAATCTCTATCAATAGGATTAACCTCCCAGTAAAAATATACTTTCCGTATGCTAGCCGCCGGACTATTCCAGATTCATACAGCCCTCCAAGCAAGGTCTATCTCATCACTATACTTTCTCGCAACAAGGGTGGAGCAGATTTCATGTTATGTTTTGCTATTTTTAATTAGTATTCAAATAGACAATGTTGATTCCGCTTATAAAGTTTATTAATACCTAAATCACTTAAAAATTGTTTATTTATTTGACAATCTTTTACAATTTTTATCAAAAATTGTAATATTTTAACACCTGACAAAACTTCAAAGGTGAATTGTTGGTGGAGTCAACAGACAACAGTACCCTGAGCAACTCAACATGGAAATGTACAAAAAAGTTTTACGACTGCTGGTACAGGATGGATTATGACCCTTCACTCTGGCAGCCTCATAACTGATGACAATAATTGTTCGAAAGAAATTGATAGAAGAATAGCAATCGCGAGAGGAATGTTTGCATCTTTGAAAGTAATATTGAAAAACGGTAATGTATCTACAAAAACAAAATTAAAGATCGTAGAAGCGTGTGTGTTTTCTACATTGATGTATGCATGTGAGGCTTGGACGTTGAAGAAAAGAGACAAAGACAAACTGGAAGCATTCGAGATGCATTGTTATAGAAAGTTGCTAGGAATCAGTTGGAGACAAGATAAGAAACGATGCCATAAGAAAACAACTTGGAAGACAAAAAACTGTGTATGAAAGTGTAAAGGAAAGAAAGCTGGGTATCTTTGGGCACATCTGCAGAATGACAGACGACAGACTGATCAAAAAAGTACTGGTGAGAAAGAGGGACTGGAAGAAAAAAGTTGGAAGACCTGTGAGGAAGTGGATGGATGATATCACGGAATGGACGGGGGTTGGAACATTGAGCTCAATGAAGATGGCGAGGGAAAGAAAAGGATTTTGGAGAGATAGAAGAATACCATCGGCCTCAACGGGCCCTTAAGGGATTACAGAGGATCATTGAATGAATGAACTCTGGCAGCCAGCGCTGGTTGGTATGTTGGAGAGTGTTTACCACGCTAGGATAGATAACATGGAAGGTGACCAGTGGATTGGATCGAAGGACTGTGTAGAATGCCTCATAGATTTTTATTGCAGGATAAACTTTTTAGGTTATTTTTTTGCAAAAAGTGAAATAACAATTATTATCCCTTATGACTATTTCATTTTATTCTGTTTATTTTTTTCAGAATTTGTGGTTGGGAAAGTTGGACCCTAGAAAGAAATATTATATAATAATTTTATTCGTTTTTTCGCTAAGTTTAATAATAAACTTTTTAAAACTTCTTATAAAATTTCAAACATTTTTAATTCACAATGTATAAATTATTCTTTAGAACAAAGATGACAATGGGTGTCAAGAACAGCAAATTTACATACCATTAACCGGCTGAAAAGTTCCATTGTTTCTTCAACATTGTAAATTCCAAATCTGAACAACAAACCACTTAAGCTTAAAAAGGTACAAATTTCAGCACATCTTGTTTGTAAAAAAAAGAAATGGAAGTAGCAAAAATTCTCAATTTCTACTCTACAATTCTCATGTTCGATTTATATAACGCAATTTTCACGGTAGATCGTTCCTTACACAGCGCCAATGTTAATTTTCCAGCGTTTTGTGGATTTCCAGAAAATTTTTTTCACTGGGAAACTGCTTTCTAAAGCGTTAATTTTGTTAAATTTTAATTTAATTTTCATTTCGGCAAGAATGAAATGTTTTAAGAAATTAGTAGTAGATGGAGCAAGTATTTGCTCGTGCGATCATTCCAATGAAAATATAAATTTGTCCGAGCATATATTTGAAAAAGCTCTCATGTTGTGTTCTATGGGATGTTCGCAAACAGCCAGCTGTGTTGCTTACAACTTTTGGGATGTTTCTAATCAGTGCCAACTTTTCAATCAAACAGTTAAAAAAATTTCTGTTGTTCCTGGCTGTCAATTTTATCAGAAAAAAGGTTTGATTCAAAATAAACGACATGATTTTAAATTTAAAATTGTCTAATTATTAAGATTATTTATATTAATTATTCATTAAGATTCTTCGAAAATGAGCAAAAATTTTTTGATATCCGTGGACGACGAACTGATTGAAATTTACTTAAATGGGAAGAACGTTTCTGTCTCGTTGAACTTTCCATTTGCGAGTGTTTGGACGGTCGCCGATACGTACAACCTGACAGAGGAGGTCTACGTGATCGCTGTTATGTCTCACAACAATAATGGAATTGGTAAAAAAGGAATTAGTAGACAAAATGCTTTTGTTGAATTGCCGTTTCTATCACAAAACAAACAAAATTTTATTTTATGAAACTAATTTTCACTAATAATAAATTATGTCGACAGGAGGTTTGAGAGCAAAATTTTCAGATGATTACATACTCACAAACGACACTTGGAAATGTACCAATAAATTTTACGTCGGTTGGTACAAACTAAACTATAACGATTCATTTTGGGATGGAGGTATGGTTGGCCAAAAGCAATCAGCAAACCCTGGATATCCACCAAACATGGGAAAATCCCAATGGATTATTGACTCTACTGACTGCAGCTGCAGAGTCAATTTTTATTGCAGAAAGGTCTCAGTCGGTAAGTGTTTTGTTGTAAATTTCAAATGTTAACCGAATTTGATTTTAAAACTGTTTGCAAAGTTGATAATAATGCTAAAAAATTTTTTTCAACTTTTTTTTAGTATTTTCAGATCCTGCTACCTGTCAGCTCTTATAAGATCCACTGAATGTAACGAAGTTTAGTTGCTGGTTTACTATATCAGTGAATGTCTTTGTTGAAACAGTTCTTTAAATTTATGAATAATGTTATATTTTTATAGTTGTTAATGCCTACACCAATTAGAATTCCATCTAAAATTGCACTATGTTTGACTGGCAGTAGCAATACAAACATATTATAACAGACGGTAATTACATTATTGAATAACTATAAACATTTGCAACAAAAAAAAACATAAAGTTTTAAAAAAAATGCAACTCATCGACAACATAAAAATACTGCGATGTGTTTTAACGTCAATTAAACGAAATTAAGCAGTGCATTTTCATTAACGTTTTAAGATCGATATGCACTTAAATGTCAGAGGGTGGATGTTAGAACCATATATTGTTTCGTGAAGTTTATTCAATTTTCTAAAAAAAAAAAACATTGTTGCCAATAATAAAAATGCGTGAATAAATATAAAGAAATAACGAAAAGATTAGATAAGGAATGACAGGTTTTGCCATTGCCACAACGGATTGATAGGAAAATTTACCAAATTTCAAAATTATACTTTAGATTGTCATAAATTTCTGATTGACACTTAAAAAATTTTTAATTCTTGATACTAAATCTAAGTTGAGTTTTGCGATCAAATGGCATTTTTTGCATTTACAAAAATGAAAACTTAAAGGATTTAAAAACTAATTTAACAAAAGCGTCATTTATTCAGAAAACATTTTATTTTCTCTCTGTAATGTTGCCGTCAACCAAGAAGAAGGCAGTCGCACCAGCAAAATCACTCGCAAATTCACTAACAACCGCTTTGAAACCTTCAAAAATAGTTACAAATTTAAAATCTGGTTCAAAGATCTACAACATTTTAAGATCATGCAAACAGATACAGATACAGAAATTCTAATAAAAGCACAAACATCAAACCTAGACCTTTCAACAGCAAAGATGAACGTAAAATTAGCAGGATCTACGATGTAAGTTCAATTCTTGATAACAACATTGGTGCTAACAACGTCATGACGGACCAGGCAGCAGCCGATGATAAAGCAGAGTTAGTTTGCGGTACTGTTGATGAAATTTCAATAATTGGGTAGTTAGTGATTTATAAGTAATTTCAATAATTTATTGTTTTATTTTTCTGTTTTATAGGTATATATTGCGTTTTAATTTATCGTAGCATGTGTTTTTTAAACGAAAAGAATTAAACTTTAAAACTCACTTGGCAATGAGTTGAAGTTTTTTTTTAATTTTCATTTGAAGTATTAATTAAAACATAGATTGCGACACTGCCTCAACACGAATCGCTCCCTGCTGAACAGACTCATGTGGATCACCCTCCTCCTCACCGGATTCTCCCTGGCAGTTTACCAAATCAACGACCGCATCGCTCATTACTTTGAATACCCAACCAGCACCGAAATTGATGTCGTCCCATCACAAAATATGACCTTTCCTCGCGTTACAATATGCAATGACAACTACATCAAGTTATCAGGAGCCCAAGAATTAGGTTTGGCTAATCGGCTAACATTTTATTTTAAACTAAACATACAATGTACAATTGTGTTCAGTAATGTAACATAATTCTGTAAACTTTAATTACAAATATTTAACAACGCTTCGTTTATAATCTTATTCAAATTTGAAATCGTTCATTGAAGGCTTAGTTGAGTATTACAAACAGTTCATGAATCCATTCGCTGCCGGCCCTGTAAATAAGAGCAGAATGATCATCCAAATTCCCAAATGACCAACCGGACGGAAATTATTGAGAGAAAAAAGCTGTTGTCTCCGGGTATTGAACAAGTGAAACACGTAAGTTCGGCTTCCGGTTTTTCCGTTTTAAATAATCTGCCTGAATAGATTTGCGTTAAGAATAGAGATTCCAAATTATGAAAAATGAAATATGGAAAATAAAATTGTTTCTGCTGATGCTAGTAGCAAATACAAATTATTAGCTTTACGTAACACGATTTATTTGCTTCGGTGATTAATGTTTCAAGTGTGAATGGGACTGTCGGCCGTGTCCGAACAACTTCATCCAGTTGGACTTCACAGATCTTGGACAATGCCTGTTTATTAATTCAAGTACTTTTGCTCCTGATGTTTTTATTATATTTCTGTTGACAAAAATAGATTTTTCATATATATATATACGTCAATTTTAGAATCTTGTGAAATAAAAATATTTGCAGTAATAAATTTATGATAAGATAACGTTTAAACAAAAAACATCGCATTGATACACACACACACACACACACAAACACACACACACACAAGCAAACAAACACAAACACCTACATAACATTCATAAATATCCAATTGAATGACAGGGGAACATAATTTGTACGTGATACGTCCAGGCGCCTTCCTTGGTCTCATGATCATGCTGGACGTCAACCAATCTGACTACTTCATACAACCAAGTCTCACCGCTGGCTACAGAGTAGGCCTACTAGTATTATTATTATTAGTGTTATTAGGGTTCTGTATTATTTAGAATTTTATTCACTTTTATGGAATCCATTTTCATCTTTCGTTATCACGCTCTATGATATAAACTTGTTAAAAAATGTAGTGACAATAGCAGCAATTTTAACAGTCTTATAGCAGTTTTATAATTGCAAAATGTACAAATTAACTAATTTTTGAATTAATTTCTTTGTGTGAGTCTTTGAGTAATACGGAATGGGAGATAAAAATAAATCACTGCTGTACTTATAGAGGTGAACATTTTTCCAATTTCGCCCAGGTTTGGTTGCATGAGCCGAATGAGCCGCCTCGAATGATGAAGATGGGTTTCAAAGTCGGCGCAGGACAATCGGTCAACGTGGACGTGTCTGTTATAAAGGTACGTCACCCTGCATGAGTTGGGTGATGACATTTAAGAATTAATTGATTATTAAAACACTTTCGTTAATGCAAAACATGATTAGCTTATTGTTCTTGTTTAAGAATTTGTCGTATGATTGCTGGCAGATATCGAGGCAGAAACCTCCGTATGGAACGTGTACTGATGAAGAAAATTACAACCAAGTCGACTGTGAGTGGAAGTGTTTCAACAGGGAAGTCGTCAAAGTCTGCAACTGCAGGCCTATTTACATGAAAGGTACACACATTTTACTCTTTCGTGATAATTTTCAAATTTTAGATTAACAAGCTAAATTTGACATAAACACATTTCAACCTGAAAAGCAATAGGCAACGAATCAGTGTGCGATTACTATGATGAAAGATGTTGCGCAGATAAGTTCTTCGATGACTTCTACTTTCAAAATCTCAATCAAGAATTTTCTTGCCACTGCCCTCCAGCTTGTAATGAAATAATGTACCCGGCTTTCGTGACAGGAGCCAGATACTCAAACAACATACTCGCTCATTTAAGTAGCGTTTCAAAATACTCACAAAAGTACATAAAAGAGAATATTGTATCTGTAAACGTGTACCTTAGCAGCATGCAGTACACGAAACTGGTTACTACTGCAGGGTATTCAGTCATGTCACTATTAAGCGACCTTGGCGGAGCACTGGGGCTTGTTCTTGGGTCGACGTTTCTAACTCTGATAGAAATTGTTGAAATGTTGCATGAGTTTATTGTTTATAATTTTGCGAAACAAAACCTACCAGAGAAGAAGCAGAAGAAATGAAATTAGAATTTGATTGAATTTGACCGGATTATGACAATTTGTTTGGAACAAAAATATAAACAATTTTTGTCTGTTATTTTTTTCAAAATAAAAACAACAATTTTTTACAACATAATAATTTGGTTTCAGTTTTCAGCTTTTTAATTTTCAATATAAATAAAAGTCTTCTTACAGTTATTCCCTTGTTTGAAAAAATCGTAGATTTGCTTTATTTTAGCAAATAGTAACCAGGAGGTGGGTATAGAAATGTATTGACAGCAAAACAAATAGAAGTGAATTTCTACCATAAATAATTATTTATAATTAATTGTTTAACAGTACATGCTTCCAAATCCTAAACAAATAATTTCCTATGAGGCCAAGGAAATAATAAATGGAATATATTTTCTGAATGGGAGACGATGGTAAACAATATAAATGATGTTTTAGCGTGCTTTATCCATATCCATTGGATATGGATCTTGCAGCTAAAAATTTGTAGCAGACTAAATGGTATATCAAGATGTAGCATATAAAAAGAAAAGTATATAACACAAATTATTTTTCGCGGATAGGAAAAGTTATTCAGCTTTAAACTTTATTATGAAAAATTTATTTATAAGATCAAGTTTATTTTTTATTATTTAAACAACTAACAAAATCAAAATAAACTGCTTAGTGAAGTTTTATTTTACAAATCTTCTTCATTCTACGAGCTTGATTTACATCAAGAAACATTGCTGATCGCGTGTTTACGAAAAATCGTTGGTAGGAACAATGGGAAACCTGAATAATAACTGAGGGTATCCCAATCCAGGAAAGTTTTTTGTTTTTAAAGAAATTTTTTACGATCTTTTTTAGAAAAATCTTTTATGATTAATTATATGGTAAACAAACTGTTGACCATAGAATGCAATTATATTGCCAATGAACTCTAAAACATACGCCATTTGAAAATTCCTTTTTGAGATTAGCACTTATTGATGCAAAAATGTTGAAAAATAGTTATCATATAGTAATACTTTATTTAATATTAACAAGTAAGTTGTGCGAGTGTTTGAAATGTTTCACGAAGTTTGAAAATTATTGCGCGTGTGATACAAACTTCAATAAGTCTGAATTTTCCACGTTCTCGTACTGGGATGGTCTCTTCTTGTGTTCCTTCAAATGCTCACAAACACACCACTGTGTTGCTTACAACTTTTGGAGCGAGTCTAATCAATGCCAACTGTTTAATAAAAGATTGAAAAAGTTCTCTGTAGTAACCAACTGTCAATATTATTTCAAAGAAGGTTTGATAGAATGTTCTTATTAATAATTGTCGCACATCTGTCAAGTTTTGCTGTTTTCAAAGGTGGATCTGTGAACAATAGATCCTTAGAGTTTTCTGTGGACAACTTTCTTATTGAATTCTACATCAATGGAGAAAATATATCTGTTGCAAAAAATTTTCAAGGTGCTAAGGTGTGGGCAACCGTCAAAACGTACAAAAATCTCCCAGACGAGTTGTACAGTGTTGCTGTTCTGTTTTATAACGATGGAGGGCCTGGTAAATATCTGACAACAACTTTCAATGTCTAATTTTATAATTTTATTATTTAATCGTGCAGTGTTTTAAAAATTTCAAAACTTATCAATGACAGGTGGCATGATAGCCAAGTCATCAGATGGATACGTCCTTACAGACGGCAGTTGGAAATGTACCGACACCTTCTATGAAGGTTGGCAGAAATTGGACTATAATGATTCTTTCTGGTCTGACGCTATAGTTGGCCGCAGGCAAACATATGTTAACTCTTATCCAATTGGTGAACCAGCGAAATGGATTTCTGAGCGCGGCGACTGCTACGATTGTCATGCATATTTCTACTGCAAGAAGAACTTTATCCGTACGTTTTAATCTCATTTATTTTTTGAATGGTCTATTGAAGTGAAGTCATTTTCAATATTTATATTTGACAATTTTTAGATGTGGTCAATGCAAATGCCTGCTATTGAAATCTATCTCTGACATCACAAAAACATCCAAACGTTAATTTTCAATTACTTCATTAATAAACTTTACCGTAAACTACGTTGGATGGTTTAATGTTTTTAAAATTTTCAATCAGAAATTGACGCCTAATTGTTTGATTTGGACCATATTCTTTAATTTGGTCAAATAAATTGTTATTAATTAATAAATTAATAATTATAGTTTAAATTAATTGTCCGCTTAACTGACTGATTGATGGGAAATTTGTTTGTTAACTGTTTAACAGAACAATAAATTTATTGCAGAAAATGTTATTGTTACTTATGATTTGTAATTTAGAAGTTTTTCATTCTTTAAAAATCAGAATCTGTTACAACATGCAAGATTTCTATTGCTTCAAAAAGTACACTTTCTTATTATTCAAATTTAATTTTAATTATATTCGCAAGAATTAGTTTTTAATTGAAGTTTAGGAAACAATTTTTCCAAAAAATCAAACTTAAAAAATAATAGTAACTCAGTTTATGCTGTTTTCTGCTTTCCTGACAACAAAAACCACTAAACTTCACAAACACCGACAATATTTCTCGCAAAACAAACTTCCTCTTGTCAACTTTGAGTCCATTTTCAACCTTTCTAAAACAAAATTTTTTTTAATATTTTACGCGTATTAAAATATTTTTGGATTTTGGAAGCATTTTAAGCTTATGTGAATAGTTTCATATTTTAATCTTTTCAAACATAACAAGAGAAAAGAACTTTCTCGAAACATTTTTGCAGGAATGTATATCTTAGTAATTTGTTTCCTAAATTTTTTAATAATCACTACCACAACGAGAGCAACTTCAAACTGCTTTAGAAGATTTGAAGAGAATGGGGTAGGTTTCTGCTCGTGTGACCGCCACGCTGAAAAGGTTGTACTTTCAATGTTTACGTCTGGACAAGCTCTCACGTTGTGCTGGATGAAATGCTCACAATCGAGCAGTTGTTTGGCTTATAATTTTTTCAGCAATTCCAAAGAGTGTCATCTTTTTAATCAAAAGATGAAACGGTTTTCAATTGTCAATATTGTTTCACGACAAGTAAAAATTTGTTGTTATACGTGCGTTATTTAATTTGAAATGTTTAATTAAATTTGTTTAAAACATTAAGCAAAAGAAAAACTGACGTTATATACATCTGTTGATAACACGTTAACTGAGTTTTACTTAAATGGAAAAAGCATTTCTATTGAAAAAAAATTTTCCGAATGCCGATGACTGGGAAGTTACCGACAAATACATCTCGACAGAGCCGATCTTCGTCATCGCAGCACTTTCTTACAACATAATGGGATCTGGTTACTTCTTACCAATTTGCTTTTCATTCAAGAGATTATTTTTAAATGCTGCCTTAATTTAATTAAATGACAATTCAGTGAAGTTTTTTATAGTATCAACCATTTTCACAACAACGTTCTTTATAGGTGGCTTGATAGCCAAGACATCTGACAACTACATCCTCACGAACAGCACTTGGAAATGCATCAACGACTTCTACGATGGCTGGTTCCAAGTTGATTACGACGATTTATTCTGGCCTGAAGCAGTTGTTGGCTTCAAACAGAAGAAAAAAGGTTCTTTGATATCTGTGGAGTTGTTGGATGCTCAGTGGATTGTTGGACCAGAGAATTGCGATAACTGCACTTCGGACTTTTATTGTAGGAAGAAGGATATAGGTTCGTTCTAACATTTATTGTATATCTTGTAATAAAAATGCATTTAGCTTTCACTCATTTTAGTTTTTTTAATTAATTCCCTTCAGGCTGGGTGACATCGGGAACTTGTTGAAGGGCCTTCGGTGAAAACAATCAAATTTAAGATACGATGCCAAATTAATAAATAACTAATGAAACAACCTTTAAAAAAGCACTTTGCATAGTAACAATTGTTGTTAGCTTATAAAATTAACCTGTTTAATATTTGAAACATTTATTTTCGAATGATTTTTTCATACAAATGCAAACAATTATAAGCAAAATTGTATTTACAAATTTTAACCAAACTATTTCGAACATAATTTAAATGTCAAAACAAATGATTCCTCACACGTATCCCTCACTACTTCGATTTGAAAATAACAACGTACGTAATAAACTCTCATTGACGAGAAATTTTGTTGTCGTTTACGATGGCGCATTGCGTGCCAGGTAGAGAGAGACTGATTTTCAGTTGTGTGATCCGAGAAAAATTCTGCTCAAGAAAAACTAACAATAAAATCTAATGACTAAAATGACAAACGAGTCAATTTTTTATCCGTTTCTAAGAACAACCTAGGCGCCTGTTGTTAAATAAATTAATTCTACCGTTTATTTTCAAGTATATGTTTTGGCTCCAACAGTTATCATACATTGTTATAAAGTTATAATGTGGAAACTATTTTATTAAAACTTTTAATTATCAGTTTTAGTGTAACTAATTATTAATGTTTGTAAATATTAATAATTAAAATGTTGTTTATTTTAAAACATGTTCAAATGTGTAAAATAAAAGTTTTTACGTGAAAATTTCAATGTTAAAATGCTAGCATTGTATTTGCGGTAACAATGAAAACCAATTAATATACATGTGCAAACATTTTATCGCAAGACTGACTGCAGCAATTAGCACTTTATGACTGTTTTGTTTTTGAACCATTGTTGAGTTTCTTTTGAATAAATTTATTTTTAAAGCCAACAAGAAGGGAAAAAACTTACAGGTGATATTTAATAGTTTTTTGATTTTTGATATTTTCCCACAAATTACCCTTTGCTGAGATATTTAACTGTTAGCATTATTTCTATTATTTGACAGAGGCAATGAAAAAAATTTGTGACAGGTAGAAGGAAAAGTGAAATAGAGTATTTATGACAAGATTATTTGGCCGAAGACTGCATGCAGCTATGAAACAAAAATAATAATATTCAACGTTGTACGGATTATTTTTTAATTTGCGAAAGAATTCCAAATAATTAGCGTTAAATGATGCCAAAAACTATTCTTTTAGTAATATTCTATAGTATTTGTATGCTAAAATATGTGTTTATTAATGGGAAATGTTTTAAAAAGTTTGGTAAAGAGGGAAAATCTTTTTGTGCTTGCGATCAGCCGATGAACAGTTCAAGTTTCTCCTCGCTGAAATCTGTGGAGGCCCTCGTGTTGTGTTCGATGAGGTGCTCGCAGACGGCCAGCTGTGTTGCTTACAACTTTTTCACTGGCTCCAACCAATGCCAACTTTTTAATCAAACATTAAAAAAATTCTCTCTTGTGGTCGGTTGCCAGTATTTTTCTCAAAAAAGTAGGAAACAATTTTTCAATAAGTTCGTTTTTGATGGAATTACAAATTAATAGTTGAGCTTCTTAAACAGGTGAAACTCAATCTAACAAAAATTTGTTGATAACGGCTGACAACCAGCTCATTGAATTTTACATCAACGGCAACAACATATCAGTCCCTTTATACTTTCCAAATGCAATTTATTGGGATAAACCTGACACATACAAACTCCCTGATCAGCTCTACGTGGTTGCAGTGTTCTCTCGTAATACGGATGGTATTGGTGAGACATTAATTATCTTTTTTCAAATTGATGTTAATAACCGTAAAGTTTGTAATTCTATTTTAGGAGGCATGAAAGCCGAAACAGCAGATGACTACATCTTCACCAACAGCACATGGAAATGTACCAACAACTTCTACAATGGCTGGTACGATGTCGGTTATAATGATTCATCATGGCCTGCTGCAGTAATTGGAAGGCTACAAAGTGCCAATACATTCTCCTTAATTCCAAATGGAGTAGCTAATTGGATTTTTGGGCCGATTGATTGCCAGGATTGCCTGATAGATTTCTACTGCAGAAAAAATTTTCTGGGTTGTTTTATTTATTATCAATTAAAGTTGGTTTTTTAGTTAAATTAGTTTGTAATCAACACAATTAATAAAAATAATTAAAATCAAATTTGTTTAATTTGATTATAAAATATATATTTTTACAATAATTCTATAACTTTCTGTAAAATAATTTCTTTTTAGAACTGATCAGTGCGGATTCTTGCCACGGTAACTAAAGATCGCAAATGGGAAAAAATTCGTTGATTAAATTATTCTAGAAACAGTAAAACATTTCTTAACATTTATCTAGCTTATAATACTGATTAGAAAAAACAACACTGATATATAATTTAGAAAAAAAATATAGGTAATGGTTTTGCTGAAAATAAATACTTTTTTACGGTCTAGTCTAATTTGATTAAGATGAATCAAATGGTGAGTAATTTTTAATGCGTTTGTGGTTTCCACTACTTGTTGGATTCGTTCATGAAAAAAAAGTTATTTGATATGTTTATTCGTATTAAAAAATGATCATTATTATTTATTGGGTTGCTAAAATCATTTTGAAATCAGCGTTTCAGATATTTCAGGATTTGGCCAAAATTTTCGGTTTCGAAATTTCGATATATGGGAAGAGGAATGATGAAAGGTCATCTCTTTAGTAATTTAGGGACAGTAATAAGCAGTGAACATGTACAGTCCACATGCATACAGTGGGATAGGAATAAAACTACACCTAGTGGAAACAATGTTAAAACACTCTTTAAAATATTTTGCTCATAAAAGCATAAGAAAGTGATAGTTTACATTTATAAAACGCCAGTTTTAAAAACACTAGAACCTAATCGATGAGAAGACATTAGCAAACGAATAGCAAACGCATCTTTCATACAAATGTGTTTTTGTTTTTTTTTTATTATTCTTTAAAAATCGAGATCTGACAGTAAAAATTTCATTGTTTTAGTGATTTTGTATTTTGATTATTAATGTTATACACGTAAATTTTTATTATTTTGTTTTTATTTCAGTTTTTCTCCATAGAAATATGAGACGATGTTTATTTTCATAAATTCATTAAATAGGCCTGCTCCTTTGTTGAGATATTTTATATGCTGAAAAATATTTGACAGGTGGAAGCAAGTTTGGCGTTTGTTCTCAAATCAGTGTTTTTTAAACGACTGCGCATAGCAACAGATCAAGAAAATTCTGTCGTGTGGTATGGAGTATTCAATTATTTGCTGAAAATAAGCTCAAATCTAACGTTAAATGGCGTGTAGAACAGTTTATTTTGTGATATTTTGTGGTCTGTGCGTGCTAAAAAATTCACTTGTCAACGGGAAATGTTTTAAAAAGTTTGGAAAAGAGGGAAAATCTTTTTGTGCGTGCGATCAGCCGATGAACAATTCAAGTTTCGCCTCGCTGAAATCTGTGGAGGCCCTCGTGTTGTGCTCGATGAGATGCTCGCAGACGGCCACCTGTGTTGCTTACAACTTTTTCACTGGCTCCAACCAATGCCAACTTTTTAATCAAACATTGAAAAAATTCTCTCTTGTGGTCGGTTGCCAGTATTTTTCTCAAAAAAGTATGAATCAACTTTTCAATAAGTTCGTTTTTGATGGAATTACAAAATTATTTATTGACAATATGAAATAAACCAGGTGAAACTCAATCCAACAAAAACTTGTCGATAACTGCGGACGATCAACTCATTGAGTTCTACATCAACGGCAACAACATTTCCATCTCTCAAAACTTTCCACATGCAAAGGAATGGGAAATCTCTGACACGTACAAACTTCCTAATCGACTCCACGTTATTGCTGTTCTCTCTCGTAACCTTGGTAGACTGGGTAATAAACAAAATATTCGTTAACAAGTTACTTTAAAACATAATTAAAATGAAGTTACGCAGCTGCAATTATAACACAAGTTAAGCATTACAGTCGAACAACATTATCTAATTAGTTCAGATTAATAATAAAAATGTTATTAAATTAATATTTTTTTTCAAATCAAATTAAAAGATGTTATTTTACAAATGATTTAGAAGATTGTGCAAGTAGGTTTGGCAATTTCGAGTGTGTCTGTGTAAACCAAAAATTTTCAAACCTATATTTAATTTCAGGCGACAAAAAATTATGTTAATTTGTACCGGTGGTTTAACTATACTAAAGAATGATATAGTTATTAAAGTAGATAGATTTTTGGTTATGCAGCGAAACCTATGATTGCAGAAAGTCTGTATGCAGGGACAGCAGATGACTACATCTACACCAACAATACCTGGAAATGTACAAACAATTTTTACAGTGGCTGGTATGATGTTGGTTATGACAATTCATTCTGGCCTAATGCTACAACTGGAAGGTTACAAAATTATTTTGTCTCCATCAATGAATATCAGGGTCCATCGAAGTGGATTATTAGGCCGGATGATTGCAGTAACTGCGTGACAGATTCTTATTGCAGGAAAAATTTTTTAGGTGATTTGTTTTTTTTAATTTTATTCAATTTATTAAGAACATTTATCGTTATTTTATTGTTCTTATATTTTACATTTTAGTAAAATGATAATTGTAATTGTTTTAGAACTGGTTAAATCGGATTCATGTCAAGTTAATTGAAGATGTGTGTTAGTGAGAATTGTTTACAACTTTTATAACTTTATTTCATTCGTTTATCAAATCTTAACCAAAAATTTCACTATTTGTTCCAAAATTAGGTTCAACTTGAATGAAATTTCCAAAAACAACTTTATATATTTAATTAGTAACAAAGTTTACAATTTTAAAGAACACTAACACATTTTTAAACTTTTTAGATTTTATATATAGATAGCCACATTGAATTCCCTGATGTTATTTACACATGTTGTCGGTATGCGTTTGTGGGATAAATGATAGTAATGTACTGTCATTGTTGTTTTGTTTAGATATACAATTGAAATGAAATGTTTCAAAGGTAGTTTACTGGCATACGCATGTGCTGCACAATTGATAACGTAATAGTTGAGCGAAACTTATAAAAAAATTAAACCGTTTTGTTATAAAATTAAATCATGAACATGTTGTAAACGTTTTGTGTGTTGATGCACAAACTCAAAAATGTTTATATATTTATTTGCCACTTGAACAATTTAAAACCATTAATCAATGAAAATTTGAAAAAATTATCTAGTTGGATGAAAAACTTTTTAAAACCAACACAAATAACACTAGACAACAAATTTTAACTTTGTGTCTGCTACTTGAGCAAAATTATATTATCCATATAGAGTTTTTGATGCTGATTTCAAATATGTAATCAGAATTTTTGTAGCACATACAGTTTTTTAGTTATTTGTTTTTTTATTTTTTTTAAATTTTGCTGTATTTAATGTTCAATTTCAAGTTTTTCATACCAAATTTAAATATCTAAATGTTTTTCTTTGTTCTATTTTATTATCTTTGTCTTTTATTCTTTGAATCTATTTTGTTTCCCTTAAATTTTATTAGTCATCTCTTCTTTTTATTCTTTTTTTGTTCAATTTTGTTATATAAATACACTATTCCAGAACTATATTATAAATATACAATTCTAAATTAATTTTAAATTTATCCAGTGATAAAAATGAAGAAATCTAACCGTAGTTGTTTGAATGAACCAGACAATTTTTGTTATATTTGTGTTATTTTTGTTATATTTATATTAAATTTGTCAAACAGAATAAAGATTGCCTACTACCATTACTTAGGAGTAAAGGTGGCGGATCAAGAAAGAACCTGGGCTCCACATATTTGCTGC